GTGTGCCTTGGCAGTCAAATTAGACATGTCCAGTGATATGGGTGGTGCAGCGCTAAGCTTTCAGTTCAGCTGACCGGCCAACAGGAAGCATTTGAAACACCACACTGCTGTGCGTTTCTGCTTGCTTCTTAAACTTTCCATGTCAGTGGGTGTCATCCAAATTGCTTGCGAAATGGAAAATGAACGTGAGGGACATTATGGTTTGAAAAAGCTGAAATCAAACCCCAACAAAGATGTCTTCCAGGCAGCCAGAACAACATAGATCCAGCAAGGAGTCCAGTTCATGGACATTGATTGAGAGGATGTACAATGTGTGTGTCTCCTGCTAGAGGCTATTCAATGATTTGTTATGCATTAAGACCGGAAAGATAGTGAGAGGCTGGTTAAGCTGGTTTAATTGGGTCGGTTAAAGACTTGTCTGGTTATCAGGCCAATAGTGTTTTCCCAGAAAATGTAATAGTAAGTGATTTTAAATCTCTAATGCTGACTTTTAAACGGATTACCCGAGGCTATGCTGCTCTAACGCTATGTGGCGTATACTTTAAATGTCAATATCTGACATAGAAACACACATTTAGAAAAAGACACACATTCTATCAGCTTCTGAGTTTATACTATTGTGTGAATGTGTCTGTGTAATAAAGATGTAACACAGGACTTACACTTATATGCCTAACAAGTTATCTAGGGGTCTTGGAGGGGTCAACTTACATCAAAATGGCACAATGTCAGGTCACATTTTACAGAACAGAAACATGTCCTCTGTGGCTGATGAGCATCTAGTGAGCGGAGAATAAGGACTGACATGTTTTATTGTTTAATTCCAACATGACAGAGACATCACTTGAAAAGGTTGACATATGAAGCTCAGCGCAAGTTCAACCAGGAAGACCTTCTTTTACTCAATCATTTACTATTTCCATGTTAATACTCTCTCTCTCTCCTCTCAATAAGTGATCGGGGAGCGTCACTCCCTAGCTTAACCAATCACTTTGCTCTATTCTCACAAGCCTATCATAGCGCTCCGCTAAACCTTTTAAATCTGCTCTCCCCTCTGACAGCGGTCATTTCAGGTGACTCGACGCAACCCTCCTCCACCCCTTTTCACCTCCCGTCCCTCTGAGGGTCAAGCTAAGCCCCTCCCCTTCAGACCGAACCCAACTATCCATTCACAGAGCTCTCAAGTCTCACGCATTTGCCGGCATTTGAGACACACGCATTTCACTCCATTCACACGCCAGGGTTTCTTTCCAGGGTACCGCCCACCAAGGCTTGTGTGAGACGCGTGCACTCCACTAGCACCCCCACCCCCCCCACCCCCGTTGACATTCGCGATACAGAGGGCTTCATACTCCACTTGAGAGCCCTGCATTCACCACCACCAGTGTGTAGACCCCGGGGGGTTTCATCGGATCGGTTCTCCCCCCCCGAATGATACTCCTGCACAACGGGGCCTAATCGCCAAAACTCCATTACATTCATTTTTGCGTATTCCTGGCAATAAATATGTATTCTTACATCAAAACCGTCTCTCCTGGTTGAACTAATATCGTGAAAAAACATGTTTTAAAGTGTTGTGTTATTGGCTTTTTGTGCTTCAGTAGACAATTACATTTGGAAAGGATAGCAGAGAAGTTGCCTTTCTAGCTAAAATAATACCCTTTTAGAGATTGACTGCTCAATATGCTGCTTTTAAAAAACTCACAAAAATGTCAGTGGGGATTGAGGTTAGTACAATGAAATACACAATAAGCTTTTGGGTGTACCATATCAAAAAAACTGTAAGAGGATTATCTTTGATGCAACTTTAACTCATGATAATTGTTTTTTCTTCTGGACCCCCACAGTCCATCCACATGTATGCCACTTGTTATTATGGGGCAACATACATCGTTCCCCCACCCACATATTTTGATCTTCCTTATTAGTACAAACATTGAGTTATACCTCAACATCATTTCATCCAACTCCCAGCTGATTACAGGTGTTATTCGTCAGAGAGCAATTTAAAAACACCAGTGTGGGTGTGTGCACTGCAGTGGCCTTTAATCATAGCTGTTATGAAAGAGTGAAAATAATGGATCAATGGCATTAGACTAAATGTGTGAACCTCAGCATAAGACTTTTTTTTAATGATTGTGAAATATAAACAGTATGTGTGAAAATGTTCTTAGTAAATAACAGAAGCAGATTTGTTCTCTTTGTGCATAATGAAAGACAAGAGAGGTCTCAGGCTGATTCCAGCAGGTTTAATATCTTGGTGTTTGCTTTTAAAAGCCTGATATTTTTCTATTCTTTGTTTATTTGTTTACTTTGGCTGTGCTTGCAGTTGAAAATACCAGAGCAATCCCCATGTATTCACTGTAAACACATCATTTTGTTAGCAAGTAGCCTTGAGAATGAGAGTGGACAAAACAAACAGCCGTCACAGTTTGAATGAGTGAATGTTTGCAGCACTAAACGATGCCACCGCAGCAGAACTGCCTTACAGAAAAAGAGACTTTCCTGCATCAAAGAAATGAAGGCTGGCAACCAGGCTTTAGGAAATCAATATAGCACGAATTCAAATGATTGAGACTTCTGTTATTAAGAGCATCACCCAGTGAATACATTGACATCACAAAAATGACATGTATCAGGATCTGCGAAAATTGTAGTGACTGATTCATCTGGCTGGATTTAATCAGAGCAGTGTGTCAAGATGACAGGATATGAAACAAAAAACGTTTTTGTAGGTTGGGAAATATTGGAAACAAGGGGCTGAGCTAGCTTACATTAAAACAAATAACCATATAGGCTGGGGAAAAATGCTCCACATCTAGCAATACCAGCAGATACCAACATGTCTACTTACCCTTACCCACAGTCTGTGAAACCTAACTATAAAATGTCAAGAAATATTACTGGTCAGAATTCAATGTACTTGTAAAAGTGCCTGCCAAAGGATGCCTCTTTCATTGCTTTGACAAGTCTATTTAATAACTAAAAGCGTTGTGTACCATTAATCATCATCAGCGTGCTGTTTTACAACGGGAAAAAATAGCATCATATCATTTTTAACAGAGTTATTGGCTAATTTAAGGCGTATTGACTTTCTGTGGTCAATCAATGGAAGAGAGGTCCATTAAAGCCACAGCAGCTGGCTGTCCAGCTCCCTGCCCCTCCCAGTCAGAGGGAACCACAGAAGAGCCTCTGGTCTCTGTCTCGCCCCTCTCATTATCTCTCTTTACTTCTCTATCTGACAAACACAACCAGCAGGAGCCTCAGTGTCATTCGGCTCACCCTGTCGCAGAGTCATCACACACTTAGTCTTTTCAAGGGCTGGCTCTATGTAAATGACAATGGGATGAAACAGCCGCCCAAAATATTCCTGAAAGAAAGAGGATTTGATTTGCTAAGTGAGTTTATGTATCACTGTCGCATTTCGAAATTGCAGAACAGCTTTATGGCCAACCTACTGTCAATTCTACTGAAAACAGTGACAAAGAAAAACTAAAGGAAGAATGAAACAAGCCAGGTGGCAAATTACTTATCAAGTGAATGCACTCTGGTACCTACAGTTCAGTCATTGTCTACTACTCAGTAGTAAGCCAAAATAAGGAAAGCCACCGTTCCAGCTTTTTCATAAGAGATAAACAGACATGAAATTCAACATGAGTTGCTTTGCTCCGTTTGCCCTTGTTGAACATTCTGCTCGATGAAATGAAAGACGTACAAATTGTTAACATTCATGTGGGTAACTTACCTTTTATGTTCTCTCCTCACAAGAACATGATTTATTGTTCACCTCCTGGACCAGCATTCAGGATAATGTACATATGAAGCCTGGCATGGAGGCTGACACCTGGAAAATGGCCCACAAACACACACAAAATGAGTTTAATGTTGGAATCAAAACATATCAATACACAAAAACCCCAGTCTGTTAGTTTGTTATACACCAAGCTAAAGCTGTTAATAACACTTGCTAATGGTATGACTTTTGTTAGAGTGTAGACCAAACCTTAAAAACACCTTTCAATGAAATGGACATAGTTGAATTAACACTTCTCTCCAACAGCTTCAACTGAAATGTTTATAATATAGTCTTCACGTAGTCGGTTGTATTACACTGCATTATGTTATGAATGCCATGATTATGACTTATAACTGGCAACTGAATATAAAAACATTTACAGTTACCACACATTGCCACAGTTTTTAAGTGTTCCCTTTTTAATCCCAGGGAACACACTCATCGTTATGGCTATTCATAGCAATGTAGTGACACTGCAAGCATTTACTGCTAATATTCTGTTGACTGATCACAGATCTGTACATGTATCCTGTCCTGTCTTTTGACCACCAAACCACAGTGGTTATACTGAGATACTGACATAACTGCTATTGACCGAGAACCACTTTCAATAACATGCTGTTTTTTCGTAAACACTATGTGAGTCTCCCTCCTTCCTGATGCCAAACCAGCCGGCTGGTCGATACTGAAAACTCGAAGACATGCATTGAAGCCTCTGTTCAGTTACTTCACTCAAATATAAGAGACAGCATTATATTTATAGATATTTAATTGGGGTGGAGGAAACTCTATATTATACACTGCCCATCCTCAAATCCAGTGAAATAATAGGCTACTGTGATTTAACCATACATTTCTGCTGCAATGATAACTGTAAAGGTCGTGACTGAAACTGAACACTATTCAAACACACACACACACACACACACACACACACACACACACACACACACACACACACACACACACACACACACACACACAGCTTGCTAGCCTGACACTTCTCATGCATTGTAAATCTGGCTTGCTAAATAGCGACATACAGAGGCTAACACCGCTAGCATGCTAACGCAGAATACGACCGAGGAGTGCCCGTGCAGAGCCTCCCGAGTGACAGCTGAACTACATACCTTAATACTGTTAATTTATGATGGTGGTAACGCCGTCTTAATACATATTGAAGTCCCGTTTGAGATAAAGTGCCGTTTTAACGCCGCTGTGCCCGCAGCAGCAGCAACATATCGCTCTAACAACGGGCTGACTGACAGTCGGTGACCGGTGACCAGTAATGACGCTGCTTCCGGGGTTCATCTCGGGTTTTTTCGTTAACGTTCGTGAATGTCCGGAAAAATTGTGTTTGCTTGAAAAGCGTCACCTGGTGGATTGTGAGAGACTACTACTACAAATCTGCGATAATTGCAGTTCTCCTCTAGTGGGTGCTACTGTCTGAATACAATGACACCCCTCTTCCAAGTAAACTTTGAGAAACAATATTCAACGTATTTAAAACAGAAGTAAAAGTTAAAACTATCATGAAGGAAGTAACAAAAACCAGCAGACTCAGGTAGAGTGTTCTGACTCCTGAGCTCTCCTTCACAACGTCATACCATTAATCTGTTTGCATCTCAAATATGTAGCCTACTATCTATTATTACAATAAGTAGTATTATATTTCACTGTACAGCGTTTTATTTTACCCCATCTTATTCTATTTTACTTGCATATAGTCAACTTCTCCTGCATTACTTGCACATTACTCTTGCAACATTATCTTGAACTATTTGATTTCTAATTGCACTTTTTGTATTGTTTTTTTATTTTGTTGTATGTCTAATGTTGCATTGTTAAAGGAGCCTGACTTACATTGTTCATTGCATATCTACACTGTAGCTGTGCGTATGGCAATAAAGCTCTTATTGTAGCTTGTAAAAGTGCAGTTGTTTAATGCTCCTGAGCATGTATGGATGCAAATAAATATACATATTTTACAAAAAAGATTAGGAAAAGCCTAAACAAATATATTATAAGTTAGTAATTGTCTTAAATTAAAATGGTGTGCCCTTCAAGTACTTACATTTTCCAATGATTCATTTCAACTTAATTGCATGAGGGGATCATAGCAGTGTTTTTGAAAGTAGATCATCGCTGAAGAAAATGCTGATATTTGTGACTTGCAGTTTAAGTTTTATTTTTCAAATAAGACATTGATTCTCATTTATTTCCATAATTATTACGATCAAACTCTCGAAACCTGAATTGTGGAAACCTTCACAGTGAACATGACGTCTGCATTAATTTCTGTCACTGCTAAGATTAATTTGATATTTTTTGCTTAAGCACTTTATTACCTGGATGAGGATAAGCAAGAAAACTAAAATTATAAAAATACTTCACATGTACAATACCCTGCTCTTGACTCTATTGAAAGACTCAAGTCGATGAATCCTTTTGACATTCAGCCATGACCATGAAAATCAGTCAAACACATAAAAACGTTGAGGAAAAAAGAAAACTGTAATGGTCAGGCTGTCGATGAAGCTAAAAACTGTCCTGCGTGGTACACATCTGGTCCATTCAGTGATGTCACAACTTTATTTTGGGATTGACAGCTGAAAAAAACCACTGAGTGATATATTTAGCTTTAACGGCCCGGGTGTCTTTTGGTCAGCTGCAGAGAGATGTCCCATGTCCCCAGTAGGGAGCAGCAGGTTCTGCTGTCACTGGTCTCCAAAGAGTGGATTATAAAGCCAAGACAAAAGCAGCTTGCTGGGTCCCTACCCAGTGTGTGCGCAGAGAAAGCTCAGGGCTTCTGCCCCGTCCTGTCATGGTTCAGAGCCAGAATCAGCTGTCTGTTTTAGAGAGAGGGAGAGAGAAAATACCCTGCAATCCTCTAAAGCAGCTTAAAGGCTGAATGAGGGGACCGAAGCCTTGTCCATTTCCAGAACTGCTTTTCTCAGTCTCTCCATTATGGCTACATGAGCTGCTGACTGACTGCCGAAAGAGCAATGGCTTTATATACACTTTCTTCTGCATCTTCTTAAAGTATCTCCCCATAATAAACAATCCCCAAAACATATCCTACGTGGATGTACCAGGATATGCTTAAGATAGAACATCGATTAAGAACCAGGGTTTTAGATTTGTACTATTGATGTATTCAGGAGTCTTGTTTTCGATTAAATAATGAATGCTAAGTGCTCATGTAACAAACCAAATCTCCCGCCGGGGGGCCTTGGTTCCCATGTGCATTATTGTTTTGGCGCAGCCCCACCCCTTTTCCCCCATGCTCTGTTGACATGCTGGCTTTTGGAGTGAAATGAATTGAAGCAAAGTGGAGTGGAGAGCAGAGTGGTTTGGTGTTTGATGTGACTGTAGCGAGTCCCCTTGATAGCGTGTGTGTGTGTTTGTGTTGCTTCAGGATTGAAAGGACGTGGGTCTTTGCTTCCAGAGGGGATGAGAGAGAAAAACTCATTTGGAGAAAAGAGAGAAAGAACTCACAAACAAAATGGGTTTATCACAGAAATCTTTTCAAGTCTTATTTTCAATGTGGTCTGGGAACAAAGCCACAGCTGGGCAGTCTTAGTATTCTTGCTGTCTCCAAGATGTATCAGACAAACAGGATAAGAATGTGTGGGTGTTTAAAGAATGTCTCTTATCTAATCTTACAACCTGGTCTAGTGTTACCTCACACCACAGAGATGATAATTTAGTTAGTAAAAATGATATAACATGCATGTGTAGTGGAATTTTAAGGTGCAATACGAAAAGTTAAGAGACTGTTTATCTAACATTATAACTAAAATGTACAAAGGGGAAACCTGGAAAATATTCACACTAAACATCAGTACGTTTCAAGAGAAATACAAAACATTTTCGGATATCATTTTTGCCAATAGTTGGATCTATATGCTTAGATATAACCAGAGAATTAATGTAGCTTAATATGTACTATAAAGACATGAGGGGTTCATTAATCGTCTCGTTTCACTTGCAGCAAGACACAGAAAAAGAAATGAATTGCCATTGAATTCTCATACTTGAACTACTTTTACATCTTTCCTTCCCAACGTTAAATGATATGATATGATAAAAGAGAAAAGCACCAGGCCTAAAGTACAATGTCAGAGTGTAGAGCCCTTTTGAGACTTGAAGGAAAATGTTTTGTTAAAAATAAAAAGACAGAGCATAAAAGTCTTCATGAATTCTTAAATAGAGAGACACCTCAAGAGGGATGGCCTTGGTGTTTTGAATTAAACACAAAGACCTGACTTCACTTTATTTGTGGTAAAAAAGAGAGGGAGAGAGGGAAAGAGAGAAGATTGGCGTAACTGCAGTTTGGTGAAATGTATGATGGGTATTTGAAATCGTAGTATCAGAATCTAGTTAATTGCCAAGGTTTTCAGATACAAGGAATATACGTAGATGTAGGATTGCTATATGAAGGTATTTACAATAATAAATGGAATACTATATACTGTATGGCTATAATTAGAAGAGAAATATGCGTTGAATAGATTTCACACAGATGGGTGATGTGTGAATTTAATATGTTCATTTTAACAGTGAGTCACACAATTATTTATATCTGTGAATATGTAACCAGTTTTACATAATCCTTGTTGTTTAATTTATACCATTTCTTACATTTTTATTTTTACTATCCGTGAAGTTGTTCTATTCTGTATTTCAAGCTAACTGCTGTTGCTGCATTTCCAAACACAGATTAGCTTATCGATTGTGTCTACTCTCTAAATGTAAATTCCTAGCAGTATATTAACCTACTAATTCATATTCCACACAGCAGACGACGCTCTGTTGATGCCATCTGTCTATGCTGGAGATATCCAAGAAACATGTATGCATGCAAATGCTCCTTGAGACAGAAACACATGACATAAATAAAAGACTGACAGTAAATCAGAGCAAAAGTATCAGAGTCTTGACCGTTGGGAGTGTTGTCCACATGAGGAGAGACACGGACCGTGTTGGAATTACTTCCAACCTGGTAGAGGCTTATCTTCGCTTTAACCACCTTTGCTCCGGCCAAACAAATCCAACCTAGATGCCTTTTAGATGGGATTTAGAGTTACAACCTGTTGGCTTTACTAAAACCACATGAGTATATTAGAGGTTAAGACCCTTTGCCCTCTTAGGCCATTGGCTCTCACTTGTTGAATTGTGCCCAATCATTTGCAAAGCAAAATTGAATACAACAATCTTCACAAACAAGTTGCAGACCATTAATAGTCATTATGTACCTCTATAAATATAACAAGCTCTTACAGCAGGTGATTGCGGTAGAGATGAATGTCTTTGGAGAGCCTGGTGAAGGACATATTTAGAATCAGCTTGTTTGTTTCCTCCTTTCCCAGTACTGTTCTTTTTTCTGCAGAAAGGGACAGATATAATGGACTCCATTAAGGCTTTGGTGAGAGGAGCCAACAGACAAACAAGTAGCATCCATGATGACGCACGCATCAGAGGATGACAAGTAGGAGACTGTGTTTTAACATGATTTATAAAAGACTTTGAAGTGGAGAGTGACAAGCGGCAGAAACTGGCTGGTAAAAAAAGTGGGTAATTCTAAGCTGCAACATTCAAAGTAAATGTCACGCATCTAAGCCTGTTGTGCTGACGTCTTTCCACAGACATATCACTTTTCACTTTTGCTAAACATCCTTTGGGTTCGCTGAAATTTACATTAAAGTGATAGGATTAGAGCTAAACCTTGATCCAGCAGATTCCGTGAATCTTTTTGGCTCATTTCAGTTTAGCATGGAGAGTATTTTATAACACACAGTTGAGAGCCTTATTTAACAACACTTAAAAACATGGGTTAATGCTTTATAGCTATAGCCAATTATCTAGAATTCCTTGTCAGAAAATCTAGAAACTCTGTTGCAAGTCCGTATCACCAATCAGAAAAATGTTTTAATTAAAAGAAAGTTTTTTCATTTTGTGAGATAAACGTATTTACTTTCTGGCGGAGAGCTGGCTTAGAACATTAATTTGTCGGTTCATAAAACATAAGGCTATGGCCGAATAGCTACTACCCGTTAGCTTAGCTTAGCACAAAGACCAGAAACAGCAAACCTTACTGTGATTTCAAACCGCTGTAAATGTTAACCGACCGACTATTTTATCTCTACTGTTGCATGGCAACTGTACAGAGCCAACAATTACTGATCCTTAACCCTCCTTTAAGCAAAAATTATCGTTTATATTTTGGGGTTTTTGTCCATATTAAACCAGCAATTAATAATGCGTTAAATACTGAGCTTTAGAGTAAGTAGTCTAATAGGCCCATTCTCTGCCCTTTGTACTCCTTATTTCCACTACTTATGCTTTGCTAAGCTAGCAGACTGTCACTTTATATTAGTAAGACAGACATGACAGTGGTATCAATCTCCCGTATCTAAAAATGCCGGAAATAAACTCACATAATGCCAAAAATGAAGAGGTTATCTTTCTAGGAAACATTACTGTGAATTTTCAGTATGCAGTTTTAACAAAAGTAAGACTTACATATCACACACACACACACACACACACACACACACACACACACACACACACACACACACACACACACACACACACACACACACACACACACACACACACACACCTTAAGTGCTGCATCACATTTGCTAAAATCAATACAAAGTTTATATGAGGGCTTTTAAGGTAAGCTTAGCTTTTCCTTTTCATATGGGGCTGCGAGATTGTGTGTGTGTCTGTGTGTCTGTGTGTGTGTTTGTGTCGGTGTACGTAAGTCACAGTTGAGTGAAGTTCCTCCTGAGTCTGGACCTTCGTGAGTTGAGGCGTGACTCACGGTTCACCCCGCTGCTGCATACTGTGCCGTGTAAGAGACCACATAGTGGATGATGTCCATCAATAATTCAACAAAGATAGACTTCCTTTTTCTCTGTTTTTCACTCGCCCCCTCTCTCTCCTCGGTGCTCTGCCTCTGTTTCTATCTGACTGAATCCACCTCCTACTTCCACAAACAGCCTCCATCTCTGGGCCCTCTCTCATCCGCCTGCCTTGCTGTTAATCCAGCCATCCCAAACCACTTAAAACACTCAGACAACATGCTTCCAAATTTAAATCTGAGGCCAGAGCAATCTTTTTTTACTCTAGTAACAAGACATAACGGCTTTTCGTGATCACGTCACGCTAAATCTACAAAGTGCTAATCCTCTTCCAGACACTCGCTGTAGGATGTCAAACTTGGAGGTGTCAAAAGAACTGTGTTTTACAGGCTTTCAGCAGATGATATTTTGACCACACATTGACATAGTGGTTACTAGTAAACTACTACCTCACAGCAAGAAGGTGTGTACTTCATTTTTTTTTTTTCACTTTCTGTCAGGAGTTATTCATTACCTCTGAATTTATCCTTTTACTTTGAGTGATAAACATTTTTACACACCAAAAAACACACGTTTAGACAAATTGGATACATTAAATAAGAAAACGGTTGTGTTTATACATCAAGGAAAGCAGCAGTGAGTTCGTATGCCAATAAAATGTTAGTGTGGGCCATTTCTAAGAAGAATACTTAAATATCAGTGCATGAGCTTTACAGGGATTATCAAGAAAGCTGAAAGAGGTTATAAAGAGTTTTCTAATGTGTTTGCGCAGGATATTATGCACTTAGAGAGAAAAACATCTATATGTGTGTCACTTTTTGAACATCATCTGACATGAATTGAATAGAGTGCCAACAGGCTGAACCTTTGATTCCATATGATGAAAATGCTTGAGGGACAGATGACAGCTTCCACTAAAAGATGCATTAGAGGGCATTATATTGGTAATCCCAGGTCCTTTAGGAACCTGTTAATCTGGATTACAGCATCATTTTATAGCATTATTTGACCACACAGCTATATTCCTCTCCGTTGGTTTCCTCTTCATATTAACCTTTTGAACCCGGGGTTGTTTATGCTCATCTTTCATAATAACTCCAGACATTTGGTATTGATACAACATCTTTGAGCAAAGGATACTATATTTTCTATGTTTCAGGTCAGTTGGATTTCTTTTTTAATGCGAGTTGTATACATTTTGCACAATTTTGTTATGAAAAACCTGTTTTTGACACAATTGGTTTTTGCAGATTCGAGTTTAAGATCTGCTCTGTGAGTTGAATTAAAAAAATCACACATTCCAAAGCAAACACCACTTTAAAATGTGAAGTGTAGTACATAAACACAGCTGGCACCGTTTTCAAATATCACAGTAATGTGATGACCTTTCATTTACATAAAAAGCTGGCATGACCATGGAGTTTGTCACCCAACAGCATGCACTGTGTCCATGACCTCTACATCCAATTTTGAAATCCTCTATAAGACCATCCATATTTAATAACAGATAATATTACTGTGCATCCCAGGATAAAAACATTTAAACTTTTGATTAAAATTATATCTCATTTTAAAGTATATTTTGCCTGGTCTGTTTAACTGCTACCTTTATTGTGTACTATACCCATTACTATTTTTAAAAATGTAACACAGGATTAATGTTCATTTTGATATTTCCTTACATTTAACTAAGCAATATTTTGCCTTTAGGTCACAACCATACAAAGTCAAACATTGAGAGAGAATAAATAAATGTTTATATAAATATATGTTATATGAAAATGCCAAATCTTAGTGATATTGGAGTGTGCATGGAATTCTTAGTCAAGAAAAACTTGTTCTTACAACATAGGATACAAATCCACAAGTTCGTTTTAAAAGTCACAGTAATGCATTAATCTCTGTAAAATGCATTAATAACTGGAGCAACTTGATATCTTGTTACTCTTCTCTGTGTATCTGATAACTGCTGAGAGCCTCCGCACAGGAAATCACTTTGAGTTTCCATGATGAGTTCAGTCTGAGAGCAATCACACCACAGCGTGTGTGACTCATCCTGACACTTGAATTTAACAGAGCATCTTATCAGAAATCTTATTTTAGAAATCTTCTATAGACAGACAGACAGACAGACAGACAAACAGACAGACAGACAGACAGACAGACAGACAAACAGACAGACAGACAGACAGACAGACAGACAGACAGACAGATAGACAGACAGACAGACAGACAGACAGACAGACAGACAGACAGACAGACAGACAGACAGACAGACAGATAGACAGACAGACAGACAGACAGACAGGCCTATGTCGGTCTAATGAAATACAAAGTTAGATCATATAATTTCGAACCCTCAAACCACGTCTTAAAGTTCTACAATTAATCCAACTGTTGTTTATGAATCTCAGTTTAGAAAATGTATCTCTAGATGCATCGTGAGATACAATGACTGTCGACAATTTACTGGCAGTAATTGAATACCTTGTGGGAAAAATACTGAAGAGTGCTTGCCAGGAGGTGAGAGGTTGCCATGGAAACATATTCAAAAAGGTTCCATCAACCAAGATCTTAACAAAACATCAGATTCAGCGGAGATATTTGTAATTAGTCAGACACTGGCTTGGCTACCCGCAGTTCACATATCCAACAATATCATAGAAATAAAGCAGAGGCACAGAGAGAGACTGTATTCATCTTAGCAGATAGGTGCAGATTTGAGGGATATGCATAATGTGTATGTGAAGGAATTTTCTATCCTATTGGGACATAGCCTGTAGGTCTTATTTATTTACAAAACACTATTTCTCTGTATGTGGAGAGGTAAACTGTAAGATGCAAAGTTTAACAAAGGTTGGATGTTTAAGATTTGGTAGATAATTTACATGTGTAGATTCAATGATTTAGTCACAACCAAAAATAAATGTCGTTATTGGGGGAGGTTAACAGTTATCTTCAGGATAAATATTCCCTCAGTTTCAATGAAAACTAATATGGGCAATATGTATATTTATTTCGAACTATTCTAATAGAAAAACAATCCTTATTCCACAATAAAGCCAACAATGAGAATTTCCCTGAGATCTCTGATGCATCTTGTGCAGATCATTCCATTAGCTTTACACTGCAGTCAGTGGATAATTAGGCCCCATCCACCTCAATAATGCAACAAGAGCAAACCAGGCAAACAGCGCACAGCCTTATCTGCCTCTCACCTCTCAACACAGCATCTACCAAGAAGGTAAACAACACATGATTAGCCAACCAACAGTGGGTGTGCAACAACTGGGATCCTTCCTGACCAGAAACCTTGTGCAGGCAAGTCTATGGCTAATTGACAGTGAGGCAAGGAAGAGAATAAATCAATATGTGATGTCACACAGTTATATCCATTATCTACTGTAAATGTAATACATTTACAAAGCAGGTGGTTCAACCGATCAACCAGGAAAAGTGTGGAACATATTTGTTTTTCTAGTACTGGTAAGGTAAAATATAAACAATGCTGAAAATATGTTTAGTCCCGCAGCTATTTGTGTACTTGACTCCGACAGATAACAACAGATGAAGGATCCTGATGACAAATGGCAGAGAGTGGAGGATATGTTGTAGGGCTTTGTGATTTGACATATCGGCTGATAGACATCACAGCACTGCCCACATTGGGAACACAGCAGCCAATGACAGGATGACTTTAAAGGCAGACGCCTGTATTATCAAACCAATGGGAGCGCAGCTGCTTTGTTTCCCTGCCTGCATGGTTTTGTTTCGTGCGCACATGTGACCTCAGAAGGCGCTTAGCCTACTCCAAAGATCAACGATTGGGTGCTGTAGCGGACAGCTCCCCATTCAGATAAACAAAGCAAAAACACAATGGCTCTTTTTGGCTCTTCGTTATGGACGCTTTGAAGCCTTTTTCTCTCTTTAACTCTCAGTGAAGATCTCCATTTCCCCAGCTGCGCATTCTCTTTAAACATTAAGCTATTTTATTTTAAGCTGCTGACGAGTGCGATCCTCAAACGGCAGAAAAAGCGGATGTTGGGACACCTGTAGCTGAATCCCATTCCCCTAAAAAGTGAGGTTGGGTTGTTTCACATCCATTCAGCATCCGCCCTGCAGGAGAGGTGCTCCTGTGCCGTCTGATCTCGAGTGGGGAAGCGCAAAGGTAGACGCCTAAAGCCATTTACGGACGCATTAATATCTAAGCCGCTCTCTGTGCCTGCTTGCAGACAGGAAGGAGCATGGATAGAGAGGAATTTGCTATGACTAGTGCGCTGAGGGGATTTGTAGAGCTGGGGTTTTGCTCCTGTGGAAACTAAGGACAGCGGAGGAAGCTCCGTCACTAACTGCTCGCCATTTATCTCCAGGCTGCTTTTGTTTATTATTTCCTATTTCTGGCATATAGACTTTTTATTTAATTCATCATCATGGGGAAAGATGAGTGCAAAACAATGCTGGACGCTTTAAACAAAGTGACCGCCTGCTACAGGCACTTGGTCATCGCCTTGGGAAGCACTTCGGACTCGCAGAACCTGCGAGAGGAGCTGAAGAAGACCCGCAAAAAGGCCCAGGAGCTGGCCGTGGCCAACAGGACTAAACTGACTTCTCTGCTCAAAGACAAGTCCATCAGCAAAGAGGACCGGGCAGAGTACGAGCGCCTATGGGTGCTGTTCTCGAGCAGCATGGAGCTCCTGGAGGTGGACATGAAAAGGTCCCTAGAGATAGGGCAGGATTTCCCCATCAAGGTGCCGACGAGGCACTTCATCCAAACCGGGATGACCGGTAGCACCACCACCGTGGCGGCCCGGGCCATGAGCGTGCAGAACATGAAGTACGAGGCGGACAGCAACATCGACACGGTGGATCTCCGGGAGCTTCAGTCCGAGATCACCCAGGTGAGCCAGATGATGGAGGAGATGGAGATGAAGGTGCAGGTGGCGCCGTGGGCCGTGGAGGCGAAGCAGGAGGCGGGCGCGGAGCTCAAGTCAAACATGAGTGTAGGAAATTCCTCCGTGGGTGTCATCTCCATCTGCGAAGAGGAGCCGAAAGAAGAGGAAGGAGGCGGCAGCAGAGACTCTAGCATTGCCTCGGTCTGCGCTGTGTTTGTATTCGTTGTCATCGTTGCGTCCGCTGGGATTTTAGGATATCTGGTCGTCAACATGTCCTGAAGTGTCTAACAAACAACCCGGACACCATGCGCTTCAAAAGAGAGAGAACGAGCTTTTTTTGAGGAGCTGGACATTTGTGGACACGCGAAATGACTCATCTTTATCGGATTTGTGAATGTATTCGGTGGAGTTAAGGAGTTGCACTAGATATAAAATGTAGAACAACACAATGGACCATGGGCACCATTTCAGGTTAAGTATTTTTAAGGGGCCAAGAGGTCGTGTATTTTTGGAGAAAAAAAAAGTCATGAAATTACGTGACACTGTCTGGCTATCAGGTTGATGCATACAACACGTAATCCAAGTGGATTAGTAGGAAAGCTCAAGCGTAAATGTAGCCTACTGTTAAGTATTCCCCTTAATGTTCTGCAGATTGATGCTTTAAATGTATCATTTCAATTCCAAAGTCAGGGGGCATAGTCAGAGAAGGGTCATGATGTATGGAAACTAATAGAGCCAGTATTCCGGTTGGATGTGATAAAATCTGCACTGTTCCACACCCTTAAGCACAGTTTTAATACTTCATAAATTCTGTACAGCAAGGTTTTTAGTAGGCCTGCATCTTACTTCATTGCATCAAATCACAATGTGCTTCATGAAACGTAAGTACAAGAGGGATCCACAGTCTTTTAATAATGCACCTGTTCACTGTAAGCCTGTCCATGTTCTTTTTCAGGGTTTTCTTGCAAACAGTCTTGAATGTATGCATTGCAACATGTGAATAGAAGGGTTTTTCACAACCTACAGACTTTGGTGTCAGATAATGTACATACATAAGTATATTTATTATAATAAAATTTGAAAGAACTAAAAAACTTGCTTGTAGTTGGATGAACTATTGCAGCCAAAGCAGCTTTTGTACGCGTGCATTGAATGTCACACATTTATCACGTGTAGACATGTTTTAAATTAAAGTTGATGGTTGCAGATGATTACAGATTGTCAACACTGCAAAGCCTATCAGATCAGGTTCGACCCAGAGGTATTTTTGCAGTGGATTAACATGTCACCACCTCGGGTATTCGATTTAACATGGAAAGGGGACTAAGATAGATACTCTAACTCCCTAATGGATTTATTTGTAAGTGTTTTTGAAGGTATTCCTGGTGGCTGGCTGTCAGGCTGGGGTAGTTGTAGGTCAGCTCAGAAATAGTTGGAGAAATCTTTATCTGATCCTGTCAAAGACCAAAGACTGGGCTGGTCTGAATACATATTAAGCAATTAAATTATGTTAATCTCTTCATGTGTTTATCCCTTTGAGAAGAGTTTTGAGAGGGTTAACTAAAATAGATGCAATTTTAGTTGACAGTTACATTTCATTTTCACTTCTACCTTTTATTTTCTAAGGACAATTTTGTTAGCTTTTTGATCCTAGTATTTCTAGAATATCTAAATACTGAGTCAAAAATAATAGTCATGTTAAAAGTTCAACAAATCATTTTTTTTCTCTGGTTTAAATGAGCAATTATTTACAAAAAAGGATACAATTAGTACAGTCTACAGAGGACATTTTATCAGAACATTTTCTGGTTAAAATGTGATAAGTTGGAAGATATACATTACCTACAAATGATGTAAAGTTTAAAGAAAAGTGTTTAATTATCATTGATGAGATTTGAAACAACGGTGCATGTATTTAGTGTTGCTCCTCTGTTCAGAAAGATCCTCATCAGCTGCTTTCTGGTTGTGCTTTCAGGCTGAAAACAGAGTGATATCAGGATAAACATTTATCATCCGCACAGTTGCTGTAAAACATAAATAATTCTTACTTGTCATTATAACACTTCATTTGAATTATCGCCCAATTTTTATTCTAATAAATCGTCTAGTAACTCCTCAAGTTCAATAGTTGCACCTTAAATGAGCTCTAAATTGACTTTAATGATCTCCCGGTCATGAGCGGTTTCACCGATAATTCCCGGTAAATAGACCCCTGGCATTTAAAGACCACTCAGCCTCGGTTGCTGGATGTAGAAGTGTGAAATTACCTCAAAGGGTCAAATATAATTAAAGCATCCCTCCTTTTCTTAACAGATGCCTAACTCATTGTATGTGCAATGGAACATTTCTTACAATAAAAAAAAGAAAACAAGTGTTACATTTTCAAGTATCAAATTAAGAAATGAATTGTTTGGGACATTACATGTTTATTTAGAAGACTTCTTTATACCTTTTCATCTCTTTTGGCTGGCTGCATCTTCTCAACCTGACAGCGTTAGAAACCTGCAGAGAATCATGAATAGAACATTTTTTTAAAAATTGAAGAAGTTACTCGACACCCAAAAGCAAGAGGCAGCAAATGAGAGGATTTATTTATCAGGATTTTGATGAACAAAAATCAGTGGCCTGCTAACATGATTCAGAAGGCTCTGACATGTTGTCTATCCTTGATGTCCTCTCACAGAGGCACTAAGCTCTGTTAAATGTGAGTCATGTTGAACCTCTTTGGACTTCACGACAGACCTACATTGTCATCCAGAGTTCCAAAAATATAAAGGCGATGAATTATACATGGGAAGGAAAAGGGAGGGGATGAAAAAGTGGAGGAGATAAAACCTCCTGATACAGTGCTCTTTGAAATTGGTTCTGGAAGTTTCCAGACAAATGTTCTTGAACAAATGTACTCGGGTTCAAATGTGCAATCCCTGTAAGGCCAGCTCATACACACAATAGCCACATCATAGACGTTTTAAAAGATATGTTTCGTTAGGTTTAAAAATGTACCCTTAAGAGGTGAGTAAATTGTCTTTCTCTTCAGTTGCTCAAAAGCGATTTTTCTAACGTATGCATGATAGTCATTTATTTGCTTCACTCCGTCGCTTGGAAACTAACAAACTAAGCAGACTGGTTCACAGAGATGCAAGCTACACACTTGGCGGAGACAGACCAGCACATCATCACCTCATCTGGACGAAGATGGTGGGTTTCCAAGGCTGTGGGTTGCCATGGGAACCCCCAACGGACTCCATCGCAACCATGCACAGACGGCTGAGCAGTGTTATTTCAACTCGCCCCCTTCCTTCCACCACCATCCTACACACACACATAGCGCTGTGAAGCACGAGGAGATGTGGTGTGAGGACAGAGGAGAGCACAGCTGAACAGGGGACCGAACCTCAGCCCACTCCCCACCCCTCGCTAAAATTATGACTTTAATTAAATGTTTTGATGTCAACAGATTTCACATAACTGTATCAGGTTAGTTGAAAGCAATAATATGAAGTTTAAATTCATATTATTGCTTTCAACTAACCTAATACAGTTATGTGAAATGTGTTGACATAATACATTTAATTAAAGTCAACGTTTCAGTTTTTTAGGTGTATAAAACCAGCAGCAAAATTATGATACACAGATTTTTTCTTTAGATGTCTCAGACAAATCCAAAAATCAATACATTCAATTTCTCTATTTATAGATCTTTCTCTTTATTCCTCTGTCAAAACAGCCTGATTTTTCACATCCAAAGGGCAGTTACCAAAAAGGTTGGGAAATGATAGCGACCTTTGTTCCTTTAATATTTCATTACAATATATATTTACATTCTGTTAAATGCAGGATGACCCTCACTCTACATGGAAAAACGGATAGAAGATGCTGCACACATAAATATACTGTATGCAGTGATTGATTTTATTTTTAGCCTTCGGACTAAAATACCTACATCACAGAATACATGATTCAACAATGGACCGGCATGAAAAAAAATCCTATTCTCATCATTGGCAGTATGAGACATACAACGTTGGGGGTCGTTTTTAAATGTGAATGAAGTACTGTGAGGTATATGGAAGCAATACCTGATTTAAAATATGAAAAAACTAGGGACATTTATTTTTCTTAAAGTATCATTAGCAACATACTGGTTTTCATTTCATTAGAAGATGACGTTTCCTTTACATTAGATACCAAAAGACGGCAGAAATACAGGAATCAGAAAGTTGTTTATGAGCACTGTTGACTGAGTGATGGTTGGGAAGATGTTATAAATGCACCGCATTTAATTTAAATATAAAGTGCCCTTTTTAGAGCAGGCAATATGTGATTAGATGTGAATTTGTGAAGGACCCATTAGACTCTTTTTTCAGCTCGCTCACTATGTGCTCAGTTGTTGTGCATCTCTAACCACCAGAAGCAAAAATGACTTAAAACCAATGTAACAGAGCATCGGTAAAAAATATCAAATTAATAATGAATACATTGATTTGTTTAATAATACATTCATTTATAAATGGCAGACACAGGGTACAAATCCATTTGACAGACAATTTCTTATGAGTTATCAATTCGCCATGAAGGAACTCGCCGTGAGCAAGGAAGACCCCCAAAGGAGAAAGGGAGGAAGCCCTGCAGTGAGATATGCACTCCTGCTGAGAGGAATCACCATAACTAACAACAAACAAACAAACACGCATTTGGTAAAAATAAAACGGTTTATACTTTTCTTTAAAATGTGGAGACAATTCTGGCAAGAGGTTTTTTTTACAGAGAGAACTATCAAGTATAACAGTATGTTACTTGTTAGACGCTTTTATCCAAAGCAACTTACATACTCAATACTGTGGGCAATCCCCACAGGAGCAATTTGGGGTGAAGTGTCTCAGGGACACAACGACATGCTGACTGCAGTGGGGTTTGAACCTGTCTGATCCGAACACCAACGCACAACCCACTGCACCACACGCCCCCAAGTATCAAATATATCCACGTAGAACATGATTTTTGAATAAGCACTCAAAAATGTGTATTTACATGGTTATGTCACCTAAAATGTTTAATCTGGCCTATATAGTAGCTTTCTAAAGTTGTCACTAAAGAGAGGATTTTAAATTCCTTTACTGAAGTGAGAAATGTCACCTGGGCGCCTCCCTAGGGAGGTGTTCCAGGCACGTCCAGCTGGGAAGAGACCAAGGGGTAGACCTAGAACCAGATGGAGGGATTATATCTCTTCGCTGGCCTGGGAGCGCCTTGGGATCCCCCAGTCAGAGCTGGTTGATGTGGCCAGGGAAAAGAAAGTTTGGGGCTCTCTGCTGGAACTGCTACCTCCGCGACCCGACCACGGATAAGCGGGAGAAGATGGATGGATGGATGGATGGAGAAATGTCTTCACTAACCTAAAATCTGAGATTCAAATCAAGCCCAGGCAAACTAGATTTGGTATGTCACAAATTTGAAAGCCAATCAGTTTAATGCGCAAATGCAGACAAAATGAGCCTGAAACCTTCAGTGCTTAGTAAATCAGACGATGTGCTTTCTTTCACTATTTCAAAAAATCCCAGTACATATTATTGTATCTTTCACAGCCACTGCCACTTACAACAAATAAGATCAAATAAAGTTCCAGACTACACTGAACATTTAAATGCATCTGCTTGTTGTCGGTTATGGTGCACAAAAGAGGTTAAACATGTTTCCTCTCATGTTGGCCATCTTCATGCAGACTGTTCTTTCACCGGTCAACCTAGTGAGACATCTGCATTTGAACAAGTGACAAAGAGTGTATGCTTCTCCAGGCCCTTTTCATATTTTGAAAACCTTTTTATGAGGAAAACACCATGTTAAACTAATAATTAATCATACTTAAGAATATTTAAATAAATACAAATCAGATTTACAAATATCATTTGTAATCAGCATATTTTATAAGAAATAAATTGCACTCATTTAACTTAATCCAGAAGTTCACATTGAAACAAATGATGGAAGCACTTGAATTTGATCACCCTCTTAAAGTGGCCTGCAGGTGGCATGTGTGCTGCAAATATAAACCAGTGTCTGAGCAAAACCTTCAAGTTCACTGGCAAACACTTTGTCAATCAAATATGTGTTAAAAACAAAAGTAAACAGGTAAGATGGCAAAGACTGATACAACCGTCACATGGAGTACACAATAGAAAAAAGCAGCTCCAGACATATTGACATTGACACAATATGCCTTTCCTACTGAAGACATTTGGCAAGGTCTCAGTAGTAACAAAAAACAAAAGCAGAGATTAACAAATAAATGATGGTTGAATTGAATGTAGCTGCTTCAGTTTCAGGGTTCCTGTGTCACACTGCCACGGCTTAACAAAGGAAACAAACTCATCAGGGTTGAAAAGGGTAAAGAAAAAATAATCCTTGATGATTTATTTTTTGGAATACATGCAATTTCACTGCTGGAGAATTCACATAAAGAGGAAATAAACTCAGGGAACCTAATAAAAACTGCCAGAGTACACAGTCCACATTTGTTTATAAGTGCAATTCATCAAGCATATAATACATATCATCCAACAAAAACACAATGTACACAACAACCCACAAATCAAATGGGGAACAAAAATAACACATTTACTATATTAGGTTTGCATTCCTGAAAACAGTCAAACTGGCAGCAAAACTGACTCACGTTGAGTCGAGAGAATCGATGGTAATATTCTCTGAAAAGTTCAACTCTCGGAAATGTTGTCATGCTAAATTGCTCCTTTGACCAACAGCAGGCTGTCTAGACAGTGCTGACCTTTGAGGGCATGGAGAGCATCACTTTTTATTGAACAAAGACCAAAATGCCACTGGGAAGTCAATAAAACAGATTGTGAATTGTTAATCAAGGCCATCTGATTTCTTCACCTGCATTACATTTGTCTTGCTTCATTGCATTTTCCCAGCACTTGTGCGACTCGTACGGCATGTCGGGCAAGTTAAGACTGACTTTTTAAGTCATGTGGGAAGGTGACAACAGGAAGTAGGTGATTGTACTTGGGTGTGATGGTGATCTGTATATTTATAGGGTTCTGATCTACGGTCACAAAGCGGTGCAGTGCAGAGTGGTCCTGAGCATCTTCCTGCTGAGGGTCTGTGCTCGTACCCACCCCCACCTCTCCTGAAGGGTCCAGAGGGTAGTCTTTGTCTCCTGGAGAGCGTGGAAAGCACAAGAGAGACAAAGAGAAAAGCAGAGAAGGGGAAAAAGACAAATCGTTAAATAAATCATCTAAAACCACCAGACTCAGGAACAGTTTCATCCCACAGGCCATAAGAATGTTAAACACCTGAACTTTTGAAAGAACATACATGACATTCATCTGTTTGCAACTCATGTGTATATATATATATATACAATATAGACAATAAAAGCATTGAAACTATCATATGCATTAATGTTTCCTCACTAACATTTTCCTCTAACTCAACTGTAGGGCACAGTAGGTTTTAGCAAACATTGCATTTGTTGGCAACCATTAAGTAGAAACAACATCGGATGAATTCAAATCAACAAAACACAGCCCTTATTTTTATATTATGAAATAAATACTGTGCCTCAATGGTGTGCTCTTTTAATTCACTTCTGTACAATAGTGGAACAGAGTTGTCATATAAGGCATAATAACCTCCACAACTTATTTAAATGCATTATTTACTTAATGAAACAAAAAATAAGCATGTTTGGATGTGGCTTAGAGGAGATACAGTATATGATACCTGGCAGCAGTGATAAGAACGCTTTATCCTTTAAGGAAATAACTGGCAGCCATTGTTCGCAGCCCTCTCTGGTACGCCTGCTGGAGAAGTCGTGGAGGTCTTCCAGCAGAGGGACGCGGCACATTCGACTGAGCTCATAGAACTGAGGGGGGGCAATCCAAAACTCCCCCGAAATATAGCTTTGCAGGACCTCTGAGGGTGTGGACCACTGGAACAGAGAGAAAAAAGTGTTAAGCAACTATCTCTGGATTATCTCTGGATTGTTATATCAAATGGTACTAAAGATCATAAATACTGTAATTGGACACAAACTAGAATCAATAGTAAGTTAGGCAATGAATGCACCTTGTTGTTTGTCTGTTTACACTGTAACTGAATGTTGGAAAACAGAGGAAATATGCCTGTCCCAAAGTCCAAAGAGACACCTTCAAATGTTTTGTTTTTACCAGCTGTCCAAAAGATATTCAGTAAAGCCTGACCAATTCATATTTGAAACTCAAAACTGACACACCATTCAGGACGTTTTACATTACAATATAATCAACAGTTCGTATTCAAGAATTAATACATAACACAAACAACAAGTAATCTTGATACACATTTCTTGCTTTTTCTTTGTTTTCTTTGACTGATCCACATGTTTTAATGCTGAAAAAATACTATAAACTATATAAAAGCGAGATAGAGATAATGTTTATAAATAACCTTAAACCTGGTCTGGCATTTACTTATGCAATGTCTTCCTACTCATTGACTGACAAAGATGAACCTAGATGTATTCAAATCCTAACAAGTAAAACCTACAACAGAAGGAGTAGTTTAGATATTTAGCTTAAAGATAATGACTTACATTTTCTGTTGATATATTTATCAATTATTTATTGCAGCCCTAATTTATTAATTTGTATTAAATACTTGCTGTTTCCTGCAAAGCACTTCAACATGAGTTTACTTGATGTATGTATCACCTGAAAGCGCACTATTTCCTTCTCATCTTGCAGTGTGTGTGGGGTCTCCTGCAGGCAGCAGATGAAGAACATCGTGTCAAACCTCGTCACTCCGTACCGGCCTGTGGGAGTCAGCCAGTTGCACCACTCGTGTAAAGCCCAGATGTTGGGCAACACCTCCAACTCTCTGCACATCCTGATGAAGTTGGAGGGATTCTGGTTTACCAAAGCCCTCCACTTTGCAAGTTCAGTGCTGCACAGATCGTTCACCTTGTAAGGCTGTCCTTGAGCAGTGTCCCCCTTGTCCTCTATGCTTTTTAACAAACTCTTCTCCTCTACTTTTGGCATAACCAGGAGCACACCGGACTCCTCGAAGGTCTCCCTCAATGCACAGATCCTGAAGGCGACCTCTCCCGGGATAGGAGAGCCGAATTTCAGCCTGTCTGTGGCGAATATCGGGGGTCTAGTCTCCAGCGGCTGGGTGACATTTCCCAAACCAAAATTTGAAAAGTTACAGAAAGACTTGAAAATATCCAGCCATTCATTCGAAAAGTCCGAGGAGTGCACCTTGCCGCCGGGAAACACATACGCATTTGGCATGAATCCACTTTTACCGCTTCGTTTCAACAGTAAAACGTCGTAATCAAAGCGGGACTTGTGCGGCAGCTGTTGCGGTCCGCAGCTGCTGTCCTGCGGGGAAACAGCAGCGACTGTCCGGGGTGTCCTTGAGGCCACACCGGGCCTGTGTCCGGCGGCTAAAATAAGAGTGGCCGACTCCTTCCAGTGCTTTAAAGTAGTATTCATGCTAAAAAACAAGTGCGTTTCTTATTTGTTTTACTAAACACTTTTAAAAGTTCCTGTTTGCTCAGCCCAAATGAGTTTGAAGTGACGTGACAGCTGTTTCGAGCTCTTCTATCGCATAGACTGCATCATACTGTATATTTGACTGTAAGTGCTATAGTATGATATTACAGTCTTATCGTTTTTCCAACCTATTTTGACAGTGACAAACGTTGTTATTATGCATCCATGATTTTGAAGAAGACTCGCCTACTTCCTGATGACGGAAGCCTCGGCGGACAC